TCGGGCGTATGCATAGACACACTTCGAAGAAATATTCTTCCACAGTGGTGCGGGGCGCGGGAGGACAGATATAGAAAACCGCATCGTCCATTTGATAGCGGTGCTCGGGTGCATGCGCACGAATAAGCTGTATGCTAATGCAAATAATTGCATCTTCGGCGCTGAAGAAATCCCCTTTCCAAAGTGCTTTCTTGGGAAGCGTGGCCTTCGAGCGGGTCCCGCTAAGGTCAGCGCCATAGTGAATTGGCCGGTCCCAAAGTACCAAAAAGGACTTGCGCAAGTGGCTTGGCCTCGCCAACTACTTGCATAATTATAGCGCAAATTATGCGAAAATGGCACGACCATTGTCGAATCTCCTTAAGAAGAATACGGAATGGTATTGGGACACCGAGCATTGGGAGGCTTTTGACAGAGTCAAAGGCAGCCTCCTTCACGCAAAATTTCTGGCGTTGCCTGACCCTGATCGTTTTGTGAGTGTCGTCTGTGATGCTTCGGACTTTGCCATCGGCTGTGCACCCATCGGCGTCTGCTGCAAGCAGACGCCGATGGGCGAGATTGAATGATCGCGCTCGAATCTCGCCTGCGGAGAAAATTACCCAAATCTTGACAAGATATTACTTGCGATGAAGTATGTACTCGTCAAGTTCAGAGTGCCCCGGCTCGGCTCAAAACTATTTGTGATCTACACAGGTCATGCGTCATTACATGGCACGATGTTCAAGTGGGAGTCGGATTATAAGTTTGCTCATGTCACGACGGTGAAGGCGTCATTGACGGATTTGGTCCGCGCCGCATACGCTGGTGCTGGTATATATGTAGCGCTGCTAAGGGCGCTCGGGAGCAAGGAGTCTGGAAATTTGGACAAGAAATTGTCAGCACGTATGCGCGCACGGTTACGCCGATATTTGTTGAATAACGGTTTGTTGTTATATAGCACCTTTTCGACGGATACGCCACAAATCGTTGTTCCTCAAGATGAGGCACTAAAATCCGTATCTTCTGTAAGACCACGACTGCGGTCATCTTGGTCGCCAAAAGACGCACAGCTCGAGGCGTCGCCACTACTGGTGGCCTAAGCTGTACAAATGGACAAGCACATACGTGCGCATGTGTGAGACATGTAAAAGGGTGAAGCCCTCTCCAGATGCGGCAGCGCCCCTGGCCAGTTTATCGGTACCCTCGGGTGTTAGCAGTCCATGAGTTTGAACTTAGTATTACCCTGCCAAAAGATTCGGCAGACAACACGGGTGTGATGGTCTTTGTGGACCGTTTGGGCAAGATGGCTCATCTTGCGGCAGTGCCGGGCACCATCGACAGTTTGGGTAAAGCGACGCTGTTTTTCGATCGTGTCTTTTGACAGCATGAACTCCCGGAGTGAATTTTTTATGACTGGATTCGACGCTTCACTGGGGTTTTCGTCGACACTTTTCAGGTTGCTGGACACCAAGTTGACTATGTCAAAAGCGGACCATCCGCAGACCGATGGTCAAACTGAGCGCTTGAATCGCGTCGTTGAAGACGTTTTTCGCAGCTTCTGCGCTGAGATGCCGATGCGCTGGAGCGCAATGCTGCCACTTGTAGAGTTCGCTTTAAGCAATGCAGTGCATGCGTCCACCGGCTTGTTGATCCTCGCGTCCCGCTGACACCGCCATCCCGTGAACCAGGGCTTGGTGGGAGATGATTAGCCGAATGGCTAGCTGATGTCAGCCCCTGCACTGTCCGCAAAGAAGTCAATGACTTCCTGTCTGCCAGACGGAGTGTCTTCCAACACGTTCGCGATGCCCTGGCTGAAAGTCAAGACATGCAGAACGAATATGAAAAAGGACGTGGTAGAGGGAATGTTTAGAACTTCGAGGTCGAAGACCTGGTTTTGTCACATGCTAAAAACCTTCCTACCTATGCAGTTTCTGCTGTCTTTGAGACAAAGCTCCGTCCACAGTTTATGGGAACTTTTAAGTACGCGACCAAGCAAGGCCTTACGTATACGCTAAACTTCCGAGAAGGATGCACACCCTTCCGGTGTTTTATGTGGGTGTGGGTTTGCTACAGCCGTACCAGGATCCGGCACAGTAAACGCGGAAGCGTTGGCGCCGGGGCGGCGCCCAAATGCACCCAGCCACCCAGAAGCTAAACCAGCAACTTGTTTCGAGCACGAAGTGACGTATTCGTCTGCTCGACAGCTAGGAGCCGCTCCGACAGAGTGCGATAAATCTCAACGAGAGGCAGTCGGTGCACAAAGTGCTCCATCCTGTCGAGGTCTTCCGCTCAGCGATATGCGACCTCGACACGATGCTCGGCGGAGTGCCAATAACGTCGAACTTTTTTCGCCAGGGCTCGAAGAGCATCGCGAGTTACCTGACGGCGATCGACCAAGTCGTCATCGCCTACCGCCGACTCTTCTCGATCGAATGATGGCTTCCACTACCACGTGGAACGCTTTGTAGGTCGACCTCGTCGACGGCATCAAACCCAATTTCTTGTGAGGTGGCGGGTATAGCCAACCTCCAAGAACTCGTGGGAGTTTGAGGTGCCACTTCGGCAAGACTACCCAGACGTCGTCAGCGCTTATGATCAGAAGGATCATGATGCCCCACGCTTCTCGGTGGTAGCCCGGGAAGCGAAAGGGCCATAAGTGGAGCTCAAGCTATGGCCCTAAGCTGCTGTGGTCGTAGACTCACCAGTGTGAGAAGCTATAGAGCTCGCGGGAGCGTAATGGATGATTCCATGTGTTGTAGGATGACAATACGCAGGAAGTCGGCGTTGCGCCTTGAGTTTGTCAAACTCATATCGAAGATGGCGTTCTACGCGCACATCCACTTTCTTGTGCGTGTGGCCCCCCCTGTTACCAGGGGACGTGTAACCCCGTTACAATTTTCGTGCCATAGACAGGGCTCATTGAGCGGAGAATGTGAAGAGATGGTCCTAGGGACGAAACGGTGTCTCAGACACGCGGGCCTCATATGAGGCGACAGTTAAATGTGAATTGTGGGTATTCACAATTTTTATGGGGGAGAGTGTAACGGGGTTACACGTAGCCTTGTATGAAAGAATGGGTCACACAAGATGGTGTGACCGTACAAACGTGTAAATTTCACAAGTCGGTGTAATCACAATGTTGTGGCTACACCGTGACAAGAAGCCACTACGTGGCGGGAGTTATGCATATTTATGATCAGACAGATTCTGCATTGTATATTGATGTGGCAATGACACCTTAAACGATTTCTATCGGGTGCCCTGTCTTAACTTCACGTTTTAATACGTTTCACCAAACGATTGCTGAGGACGACACATGACTATATTGTTACATTGACATGCGCAGAGGTTGTAAGGTGATCGAATTAAGATGCAACATTTATTGCAATTTTGCTGTCGGGGCTAAAAATCGAGTTTGAAGATGGTGAAGTTGGCGGCGAAGATCTAGAAACAAAGCCTAATTAAACTCAAACAACGTAGGCATTTCTCGTCGACATACCTTCAAAGTTTAGATCTGCACAACGAAGCACATATAAATGATGCAGCAAATTCCTGTTGATCTTCTCGACACAATTGATCGTTGAGACTTCATGCATCGAGTTCTCATGAGTTTCGCGGTTAAGTTGCACCGTTTGGTATATTTCCTCTGCTTCACGAATCAATCCTGTTGGCAGCCCACTAAGCGCAGCTGTCTTGATTCCATACATGTCGGTGGATGGAAAAGGGCCATCCTTTAGAACGTAACGAAAGTGAAAAGAATTCTGGCAATGAAGCAAGCATTAGTATAGCGATGCCCATCCATTTCAGCAGCACTGCTCACGCACGGTAGTGATTCCTGCTCCCATGTGGTAGCATCGGCAGCGAGGATAGAGCTGAGAGAGGTAATTAAGTTGATGATAATGGGTTGCAAAGCACGTGAATGCTCCTCTTTGTATTAACTCCTCACCAATGCTCCATGCAATCGCGGCCCCCTCGTCGTTGGCTGTGCCTCGACCTAATTCATCGATTAATACTAAGGATCTCGATGTGCATGTTTCCAGGATGAACGCTGTCTCAGTCATCTCAACGGCAAAAGAACTTGCATTCTCTTCCATATCATCCGACGTCCCAAATCTGGTACAAATTCGATCTCGAATCGGGATAGCGGCGTCAGAAGCAGGAACGTAACACCCCATTTGAGCCATGATTGTAATAAGTGCTGTAGCCCGCAAATACGTCGACTTGCCTGCACAATTTGGGCCAGTGACGACTTTACAACGAAAATTAAACCCACACCTACACATGAATTCTTCAATGCGCCTTACGATGGAATGTACTAGATGGATCAAAGAACTTGTTTGAAACCAGTCAGCATTCACTTATACATGGCACCACGAGGTTCTAAATATCGTACAGTGTCGCTTGGGATATATCGCCGATCTTTTAGGACGCACTCAACGAGCGGATGTCGTCCTTTCTTGATGATAAAATTCCCGTGCTCGGTAACTGTTGGCCTCGTATCTGAATGTACAAGGGCGTCGCCGTAGTTTTAGTCACAACATATACTTAATCTTACAATGTTGATTTACATGGCCGATCTGGAGGCGAGAGAGCTACAACATTTACAAAGCTGCACGTATTGCTCGCCCTCATTTTTTTAATACCGATGAACACTTAAGCTTTACCTGAGAAGCATATCAAGCAATGCAATACTTTCAACCATAGCGTGCATAGCCGAGGCTCGAGGGCGGATTTTGTCAAGGAGCTGTTGAATTACATCATTTGACAACTTGTAGACCGCGGTTACGGCTTCCGTAAGCCTCACATTAAGCGAAACTAATACTTTGGTAGAGCAACAGATCACTGTAAGAAGCATCGCACTATGTCAGACACGAGGTTCCAATTTCCTGTAAAGCATTTGTAGTTACCATTTCGATTTGTTACCCTCTCGATGAAGCTCGAAGGTAACTCCTTGATATTAACGGGGACGGCCAAATGATATCCTCGTCTTGCCCTATCGGAAAAATTTTGTTTGATAAGTGACTAAATTTTATGCCAATTGCAATAGCCTACGTATAATTAAGCCGAATAGGGAAGCCAATATTTTCCTTGTAAGTGTGTACAACTTCGTGAATTTTCTCGATTGTGTCAAGATAAGTTCGACGAGCGACGTCAAGCATGCCATCAACACCCGCTCTGACGGCAAAACATTCTTGGATACGCTTTTGTGCAGCAGAACGACAAACCTTGACTCTAAAAAAGAGGTCAAAGATGACAGAGTCTTATTCATGACGAGCATGTTGTAACGTTACCTGTCGTTTACAACGCGCTCAATGTCTGCTTTGATGCCTGTGAATTGCTCGTCGCGCAAACTTGGCAAAATACCGCGTCAATCGATCTTTACGTCAACATTGTGCCACGAGATACGCGTACATCACAATTATCGAGTCGAGCAATGTACACGGTTGATCTAACTTCACTGAGGCTGCTTCCAAGCACGAAACCATTTTCGGCAGACAGTCTAACATATGTTTCAGCGCAATTACACTGCCAATGGCGATTCGTGAAGCACGTGGCGTGATAGCTTTCGGAACAAAAACAAGTTGACTCTTTTGAATACAAAAGCGGTCAGGATTATCCATTCATATGCAAAGTAGACATGCGAATTGTCCCACCAGCAATCGATCCAAATCAACAAATTCACGTAGCTCCTCCATAACATCGAAATACCAAGCAGGGTTATCGAGGAAGACCCCAACGACTTCATGCCGCGCATGACTAGGGTAAAAATATAACGCTTATGTTTAGCGATCCCATCATGCACAGTTTGTGCAGAAAATTACATAGTTTTCAGGTGGCATGTCGGTTGCAGTATCTAAGAGGCAGAAATTTTTGAATCAGATATGGTAACTTTTAGCATCAGTACATCCATATATCACCGTAGATCTTAACAGCCGATTCCCAGCCGAGGTCTGAGTGTTATTTAGCATTTTGCAAAGAGACTGAGAAAAGGTATATGATATTTATCAGAAAACGGCAAACGACCAGAGTTCACTTGAAAGCTACCTGATTATCCTTTCTCCCTTGTGCACCTTGGACTAATTCGAGTGATGAAATTGTCGCCTGGTCCATAAGCAGCTTGCATATCGATGGGCTAATAACAATCTACAAGAGGAAGGAATTTGCTCAATTTCATCTCTGAGGCCTCCGACAAATTCAGACCTTCATGCTCTTTTCGGCAATGTATACCCCTTGAATATACTCGATGTACTTCATGACACATGCTACGGATGCCATAGCAACGTAGTTCTAATATCAATGTTCGACGTGAGCACTCTGGTGACTTAACGCCCTTTTTTTGCGGTAAGAACGTACCCTTCCGATATTTATATCGACACTGTTTGCCATCACTCGTTTAATATCTTCTGCTCCTTTTGTCTGACTATTACTCACAGGGAGTTACAAATATTCTTGCACTAACAGGCTTCACAAACTCACTCAAAATACTTTCGTGCAAGCGGGACGACTCGACAACTCGATCCAGCAAAGTTTTTACAAATTTCCTCGTTGACTTTTTTAGCCTTTGAGGTTTCGGTCACGAGAATTTCAACTGGCTGAAAGCGCAACCATTTATTCATTTATTGATCCATTGACGCAAACTTCAATAATTTTCCGACCTGATAGGCTTTAAGAAGTGACAGTGCGTTTACGTAAGAATGCGAGTCAATAACCGTCCACAAGAGGAGCTCATAAGGGGACACCAGATCGATCGCACAGATTCCTGGGCAAAAACGAGATGCTTGATCAATTGTGCAAGTCTTCTCAACACAACAAAACTAGTGAGCAACCTATTTCACGTGCGCGATTTTCGGCCACTGCCGCGATGAGAAACGACGATCTTGCCTCAGACTTTGTCAACGTGGAGCCACATGACCCCCCACGACTCGATAATGTACTACTAGGACGAGATGTACTTCCTGAGGCGAATGCCATAGCTGCGTGAGGGGGCGGTACTGCATAGCGGGGTAGCTTAACAGCTTCTTCATCAAGCACTATGCGAGAAGTGATCATTTTTTTTATCGTGTGCTTACTCGCTTGCTGGTGATTTGAAAAGTGCAGCGCAAATTGCGCAAAGAATGATGGTCGCTTCAACCGAAGAAATTAGGTTTATCCAAATTCGTATTCAATTTACTGCGAGCTAGTAGGTCCATTGCTAGCTTACTAAAGGAGCCTTTCCAGCTCAACTTTCACCTACTGTCCTATGCACCTATGCCGCTTGTTCGCTTACATGGTCAAACGGACAGAAAAACGGTGAAGCACACAACAATACGAACATTACGAGTATTACGTGATATTACTAAGTATCCATTACAAGCTGGTTGGCACAGTCTTTCGTAGCGATCTTTGCAAAAACGTAGACTCCGAGTACTACAAAAAGTACCTTGACCTATCATCATTTTCCGTGACCTGATGATGAAGACTGGTGCAAATAAAGCATGCCGGAAGAAAGATGAGTACACATATGGTGATGATGACGGATACACATGAGGACTTAAAAAATAATGTAAGTTTCTCAATGAGAATGCAAAATATATCAGTCTAACTAATCCTAAACTTATGTACTCTTGGAATAATTGAGCTTAAGTTAGGGTTGATACTCTTAATTCGTCTCTGGCTGAAGCTGATAAACTCCACCTCTTGCGTTCGCTAACGCGGTCTCTATGAGTCAAAGCTTCCTCAGTGCAAGTTACAGGTCAATCCCATTGCAATCAAAATGCCGAGTTGAAACCTGCTATTTTTGAAGCACTTGCAGTAACCTCGTACCCTCCTCATCTTTAAAATGTATTTACACAAAAAATGATATACCATCCTAAAGAAATATTGTAGTTGGACAACAAATTACCAACTTCTTGGATTAAAGCCTCATTTTGCAGCGCGGCTGCCGTAGCTCTCTTTCACTTAGAGGAAGCTAAGGTAAGGTCGGTGACCTTCGCTCTATACTTAGAACCAGTACAAGTGTAGCGGATCGTAATCCGCTTACTCCAAAAATAACCACAACCTTTGCCCAAGTCGAATTAACTCTTCCGCTCAAAATGTAAAGTGCATTTCTTGGTTCTATTTGTGGCAAAGCTAACTCCTTAGGTTTTTTCAATTAAATAGTAAAACCTAATTCAAATGCATAACTACTGGCAGTCTAGCCACGTACTGACTTCTTTTAGGTGCGGCCACACCATTGTGTGATTACACCGTCTTATGTAATCCACACCAGTGTATGGTCTCACCATCTTGTGTGACCCACCCCTTCAAACCAGGGTACGTGTAACCCCGTACACTCTCCCCCATCAAAATTGTAAACACTCACAATTCACATTTAATTGACGCCTCGTACGAGGCTCGCGTGTCACATGTATCTAGTATTGACGCTACTTAGACTAATACTATACAGATACGCTTTACTATGTCGATGGATCTAACAAATTTTTATGCGTGCGGCTAAAACAACACGTGTACAATATCTTCCTCCTTTTCGGAGATTCACTATCTTCATAAAACCGATATTTCAACACTTACGATATGTCACGATTACACGAAAGTGCAATATGAATTTCGTACAAGTTTACCGTATTGACTTTACTACAATTGTGGCCAAGGTATACGTGTAATGGGGGGGTCATTGCTTTGTTATGCAATAGTCCGCGCATTCTAGGGTAAGCGAAGGTACAGGTACTTTCAGGCCTTTTTGCGATGGCTTAGCAAAAAAAATCAGTTGAGTTTCTGATGTTCATATTTAAGTGAGGGAGGGTATGGAGGGGCAACATTTGTAGTCTTCTGAACTTATCCCTGGTTCCAGACTTCGCATCATTTTCCATTGGCGAAAATTGTTTTGGCTCCCTACCGTGAAACATGCGAAGATATCTTCCTCGTCACCAACCTGAACTTGGTTCAAGGAGCCCCTCTTGCCCATACTACAAGCGCAAGATTGACACCGACTTTTGCAAAAATCATAACGCCGTCATTACCGTTTAAAATGTCTAAGTGGCTCGCAGGGCTCCGACACATCTTTCCGTATGGGCCTTTTGAAAATTTACAGTCTCAACCGTCGTAAGGCTTTATAGTTCAGGGAAGCAGAAGTCCGATATAACGTCGTCTCATCCGTGACTTTGAAAAACTCATAACACGACGCGGACATCGAGGTGACAGCCCATCACCTCGAGTTACTGCTGCTTAAACGTCTATTAATCACCATTAGACAGACGTTACCAGCTATCAACCAAAATATAAATCTCGCAAGGTCAGCTGTCACCCTCTAATGGTGAATGCGTTTTGATGGGAGAACGTGCCTCTTCTTCAAGGGATATAGAGGCCAAAGGTGCGCAAGATCGTAAGCGCCCACGGCGTCAGGGCAATCTTTCCTATTCAGGACACGATCTTTTCTACTGAGGCATCCCTTCTAATTAGTATGTTCCATAAAGCCCTGATATCAGCCCGTCTCACTAACTACTCCACGCAAACTCTCGCTTACTGTGCACTACCGAACGATATCAACCCTCTCGCATGTGAGTCAGAACGTTAACTCCCTCTCCGGAAGTTTTGGGGTGCATCCTAGGCTACTAGATTTTGATTTTGCTCTTGGACCTTCGGCGTCTCATTGTCTAGCTTGAAGTACCCCTATATGTAAAGTACCGCGTCGATGCCTTGGAGCAGAGTGTAGCTCAGACACAGGCATTGATTCGTCTGCGACAGAACTCTTTATGTCCGTCTGACTCGTATGAGCGGGATTGTGGTACGGCTCTTGATACCTCACATTAAATTCTGAGTGTGGTTGCATTCGCTTTGGGATACTCAACGTGCATCAAACTTCTTTTTCGCTTTAAACCGAGGCGATCCGATGTGGCGCAATCGTAACTTACCACAGACACTGCATGTGTATGCATGTATAATGCATTCAATCGACGCATTAATCCACAGCTAATTCGTGTGCGTAGCCCGTCTCCGACATTGGGTGTTGCTTCTTTTTTCGCGGCTCTTATCGCACCCTGCGCATGATGTGTACTTCCAATGAGGCGGATCGCAGATTTTGCTACTAAGTATAGACAGACGCTGACGCATGCGTCGGCGTTTGACTTTGGATGTACATTGTCTCTGTGAACACTTGAGTAATTACCCTCTTATAAATATGGACCAACAATATATATCGCTCACCGAAACCTCCCAAGAGTTCGTAGCAGCGCTACACACATACCATCACTCGCGTATGTGGCGCGGATCAAATCCGTCACTGGCGACGTCACTGTCGTGACATGAGCAAGCACGTAATCCGGTCTGCGAGACAACGCATCAGCCAAAGCATTCTGCTTTTCTGGCTTTACTTAATCTCGAAAAAATATTCTGCGAAGGAGAGCCACCTGGCATCCTCTACGAGATGTGAGATGACTGAGTCGCAATGAGAAATGACGCATAATTTGTGTAGATCACAAACGGCTTGGAGCCGAGCACGTGCACCCTGAACTTGATAAGTGCATACTTCATCTCAAGTAATTCCTTATTGTGGTCTGGGTAGTTCTTCTTCGCAAATTTTATGCTGACGAATTTTGAACGCAATCACCAGATCTCGCCCCTTGGCGTCTGCTTGCAGCAGTGCACAGCCGATGGCAAAGTTCGATGCGTCACAAACGACACATTAAGGACGATCGGGATCTGGCAACGCCAGTATTGGTGCATGAAGGAGGCTGTCGTTGACCCTGTCAAAGGCTTACCGATGCTCGGCGACCCAACGCCATCCCGTATCCTTCATGAGAAAGTTTGACAATGGCCGTGCCATTTCCGCATAATTCGCGCTTTACTTATGCAAGTAGTTGGCGAAGCCAAGCCACTTGCGCAAGTCCTTATGGTTCTTTGAGACCGGCCGCTCCACAAAGGCGTTGATTTTAACGGGACCCGCTCGAAGGCCACGCTTCCCAATAAAGCACCCTAGAAAAGGAGATTTCTTCAGCGCTGAAGATACATTAACATACAGCTTATTCGTGCGCATGCACTCGAGCACTGCTCTCAAATAGATGAT